GGCCCGGTGTGTACCCACCGAGAAATTATTACCTTAAAATATGGTCCACGCCGTCGTCGAAATACGCCCGATGAAAACATTAACTCGAGGTTAGGGGGATGTGGCGGAGTGTCACCGGAGAGTTCGAGGCTAGCGCCCTGCTAATAGTCCCCGGCAGAAGCTAGCGAGGGACCGGATTTCGCTGGGCCGAGCTTCGTTTTCTTAATTCGCGACAATCTCGTGGCGGGGAATATTCGACGAATTCAGGTGTACGACACAACCTACCGCGGCATTCGTGGCGCCGGCGTGTAGCACTTTGTTTTTTACTACGAAATAAATCATGGCGGGTGTCGCAACCGATCGTTGGCGCGGTCAAACGGGCCGAGGAATAATAAACGAAGAATGTTAATAACGCGACCGACTCTCTAGCATCGCTTACGATCGAGTCCACGTCGGAGGGAACTCGGATCTGGAACGGGGGAACCCTAAACCCGGGGATACCTAGCGATAGACGGATGGAAAGTTGGCATCGATGAACAGCGTGGTATCTCGGGAGCCGAAGCCGAATCCACGGCGCTGGCCTCTTTCGAGTTGGCGCGAGCAAAGTTCCGGCCCGCGGGGGAAAACGGACAGAAACTAGACGATGGACTCCGGCTCGGAAATCAAAGCGAAACGATCGAAACCAATCATAGATCGGCGCGGCTTTTCTCGGGCCGGTTCGAAAGGGCGCCGACGAGTGGTCTCCATTGTCCTTGCTTTCCACCCGCGGTGCTGGCCTCCTCGGGAGTAGACCCGTCGAAACTCGAACGTGGAAACATTATAAATGCGGCGTGACGCCCGCTACGAACCGTAGGAGAAGTTTGTTGGGCGTGACGGGGCCGGCGCGGTCGAGAACAGAAAGAGAAACAGGGGAAGAGAGAGGGAGCCAGGGTGAGAGACGGAGAAGGAGACAGAGAGACAGGGAGCGAGAGGGAGAGAGAGAGAGGAACGGAGTTGTTTCCCTTCCAGGAAGGTTCGGCAATAGTATATATCGCGATGCGTATTCATACGGGGAACGTTTTTGCCAACCACCGGACTCTTGCGTCATATTCTCGAGACAGGGCCCAGTTCTGCCATACACTCACACACGCGCGCACGCGTAGGTTACACGTAGACGAATTTCTTTCTCTCCTCCGGTCTCCTGCCGCCTTTTTTCTCCTCGTTTTTATCAATTAGCGCGGTCCTCGCGACGGAAAAGCTACCCGAAGTTACGCAAGTCGCGAGTGTCCGGATCGCGCGGGTTCGTTTAACGACCGTTTGTCATCTCGTTACGCGCAGTATTTGCCCGCGAAACGTGGCACCGGAGAAAGTGGCACGAAGCCGGACCAATACCGCGAAAGTTCGATGAAGAACGAGGACGAAGACGGAAAGGAACGGCCGGTGGGACTTTATGTAAACGGCGTTTCACGGTGTCGCATGGCCAACGCCGGGGCATTAGCATAACTGTTATGAATCGTTTCTCAAGCATGCCTTCACCCTCTTCGGACGGTAATCGACGATATTTCACGAATTAATCGGCGCCAGCTCGAAACTCGTCCCGATTACCGGGCCGCGTCGTTCGCGTTACGATCTTTCCTCGCGCGTGATCCAACGCGATAAAGTGAAAATCGAGTGGTGGCCATTCGGCTGGCTCGCCGATCCCGGTGCAAGGGTGCCGCCGTCGCTGCGTCTTTGCGCCCGGCGTCTCTCGAGAAAACGAAAAAAGGGAACGCGAGCCGAAAAATAACCGAATAGAAAATAGCTCGTCTGGTCCAATAGCGGAAACGACGGTCCGTTCGCTCGCGCCGCTAATTGGATTCGCTTAATTAGACTGCCGCCTTCTCCGCTAATCTCGCGGCTGTTTATTTCCTTTATCGGCGTCGAACCGAGACGTCGTGGCGCATGCGCGAGATGCCACGATTCACCGTGAAACGACGAACGTTGCATCGGACGGTGACACGGAACTTCCCTTACGGACGCGACACACGGGGTAGTACAAGACGGTGCAGGGTGGTGTAGGGTGGTCCGATCGGTCGCGGGAGAAAAGTATTCGATCGGCCCGGTTGGATTGGAAACGGGAAACGGAGGGGAAGGAGACGCGAGACGAGGTTACGAGAGAGACGGTTACGAGAGAGGAGAGCGTAGGAACGACGACGAGGAGATCTAGCGTATACCCGAAGGGACCGTGCGGCGCATCAGGGTCGTGCTACGGGACCGTGTGGAACCAGCACACGCACCACATACATAAACTCCGGGCTCCGTGGCAAATCGTGGCCCGGACCCACCCCCTTTTTTTTATCCAAGCCCGCTGTCCTATATTTCTTGCTACACGCCAGAATTCCTCGCTCTTTACGCTCTCCTCTTTAAGGGAGCCCGAAGTCCACACCCCTCTTCTTCTGCCGTCCTCCCGTTCCATCCTGCGGCTCGGTCGCCCCCGTCGAACCGCTTTCTCACACACGAACGGCCCACGAAAGCACCACGTAAGCCTTTCTATTAATGATTTTTACGGCCGGCCTCCGTTTCTTTTTCTTCCACGAGGAAGAAAGGACCTGACCGGGCTGCTGCCCCTCGCGCGCGCGCTCAAAAACGAGAAAATGGTCGGGGCAGACGCGCGTCCACCGGGCGAAGGGGTACGGGCTCGGAGGAGCGCGAGGAAAGGGGCAGCGGGAGAGAGGAGTAGTAGAGAAGGAGCCGGTGATTCGGTGACGTATGCATTCGGGGAAGTTGACACGGGATCGGCTAATTGCTATAATTAATTAAATAATTCCTGTAATTAGACTAGAGGGATTGTGCACGAGGAGAGACGGGAGTGTTAGAGGAGGATAGCGAGGGCGAAGGGGAGGACGGGGTGGCGGGACGAGGATGCGAAGCGTGCACCAGAGAGAGAAAGGGAAGCTCTGGCAGCGTAATGACCGTTGGTCAAGAAATATCTCCGGCTTCTGCTTCCGTGAGAAGATTGTTAGGAACTGCGCGCGTAGGACTGCTAATTTGGACAGGTTGATGAATAGTTTGAAAAAGTGTGCCGGTTGATTATAGGATATTCCGCGTAAGTACTCGGTATAATAGCTATAGACCATCGCGTCGATCGACAAAAGGGAACCCCCTTTCTCTCTTTCTCTTTCTTCCTTTATTTCTCAGCTGCTTTACATCTCGAGGAACCGGAACGTCGTTGAAACGCGTGGAAAACCGACGCGTATCGCGAGCGGATTAACGCGCGAGTCTGTAGGTCGAGCGGAAACCGTTAAAGACGAACGAAAAGACTCGTGGTCCCGTTTGCTCCACGCGTTTCTTCTCTTTCGTCTTTTTACTCGTCGTCCAGTTGGAAGAGAAGGTTGGCGATCCGGACGGCGAGCGCGAAATAAGAATCGACGACCGTCGGGCTGCTGCGAGGATGTAGGTCGCGGGTCACCGTTGGACGCGGTGGTTCCGGTCGGGAAACGCGATAGCGATAAAATAATAGGAGTCGCGGGGGGGTGGCGAATCGGGTCAGCCGATATTATATGCACGAGCGACGGGAAAATCGCGGCTCGGCTGGCAGAGGCTGCGGCCACGGGAATTTGAATGCACGCGTTTGGAAGCTGCCGCTCGGTCGGAAGTGGAACGCGCGCGCGAGCGAGAGTACCTACCGGCGGTAGGCATCGATTGAGATGTATTTACTTTCGAAAGGCGGCAGCCCTAAGGGACCACGGTAATTGCTATAATTAATCGCGTGATTCCTGTAATTAAAAAGATCGGAATTACTAGCTGGGAAGCACGCGGCTCCGATGCTTCCGTAATAACACAGTCGCGGGAGGATCGGACGGACGAATCGTTTCGGTTAGATTTATTAACTCGCGCGTGAACCGCGTTGCGGCCATGCTGCGAGCGTGTCTGGATCGGACGCGTGTTTGCAGAAGCAGAGCTCGCCTTCCTTTTCCCAGCGAATCGTCGAATCGTCCGCTGTTTTGTCCCACTCGCGCGTTTCGCTTTCTTCCCTTTTTGCCTCGATCGATCGATCCCGACGACCGGACCGTGTATCGTATACCGATCGGGGGAAAATCGCGGGGGCTCGCGACGAAGAAACGTCCGCGTCCGCGTTCGCGAGCGGTGAAAAAATATGGGAGAGGATGAGGGGCGCGAGGGAAGAGAGGAAGAAAGGCTAATGCGAAATTAACAAGTAGAACGCGACGGGATTAAAGGGGGTAAAAAGAAGGGAAAAAGAAAGGAAAATCGAACAGGCGCTGGCTGGTAACCGCGACGCGCTTTTACAGCACCGAAGGGTTTTAACTTTTTATGCCCTATCGGGACGTTAAAGTCCCATCTCTTTAAAAGCGCCATATTTCTTTTATCGACGTTTGCGAATGGAGCGGCTTAATGACAGGACTTGTAAGTTTCGAGTCCAATAAACGTCGTCGTCGTACAACATTGACTTTCCTTTTCGTTCCTCCGTCCGATTTCTGTCCACCACTGTCCACGTGTTCGCCGTGACCGACGACGTGGGGTAAAAAGGTCCGGAGAGTTTACACGCGCGCGCGAGAGATAGAGATAGAGATGGAGCGTGCGGGAGGAGAGAAAAACGGGAAGGAAAAAGAGAAAGAAAGGGAAGAGAGAACGCGGTGTTAGCCAAAGTCGAGCGAATTATTACGTCGTATAATCGGAGGAAAGGGTATTTCACGTAGGACGATGAACGCGGGACCGGGTGACCGACTACCTACCGGTTACGCGATGTCGAGCGGAGCGCCCCGCGTTGGGGGAAAAATAAGAGAGGAAGCGAAGAAACTGGAGAAGCAGGAATAGAAGAAGGCGCGAAACTCGCGGGAACGGAAAAACCGCTAAAAACGGCTAAAAACGGCTAAAAACCGCTAGGAACGATTAATCACGAGGCGTGTTCGAAGGAGCGAGGCGACGCGTGCGCTCGTTATCCGGTCTTTCAGCGCGGCCTGCCCGCGGACAGACCTAAAAACTTCCCTGGCCGTTTGTTGTTTGTCGTTATTCACGTGGTTTCTCGCGCCGTTCTGTTCCAGGCGATACGGCACGAAATGCAGCGGTTGCCTCCAAGGGATAAGCCCTCAGGATCTCGTGAGGAAGGCGAGGGACAAGGTTTTCCACCTGAATTGCTTCACCTGCCTGGTGTGTCGGAAGCAGATGAGCACCGGAGAGGAGCTCTATGTCCTGGACGACAACAAGTTCGTCTGCAAGCAGGACTACCTGTCGGGCAAGCCGCTGCCGGACACGCATCACGTGCACGGTCATCATGGTGAGTTACAAGTGTCATTGTCCCTCGTTATCCACCGCGAAGAGAAACACCGTCGCGAGACGACAGAGACCGATCCTCCGTGCCCCGCTTTGTTTCGTTCGTTCGGGATCCGATTCGCAGCCGAACCGTACTAGACCGTTCTCCTATCGATCGCGAGCACCGTCGGTTTATTCCGCGAGCGGGCAACTTTGCGCGATTTAAAACGATCGTAATTTTCGCATGGAGCCGAGCCGAGCGGAGCCGATGCGCAGGCACGTGCTCGCGTTCACGACCGAATCTCGCTGTTGCACAGCCTCTCTCGCGACCGCTTCGTAATTGCTATCGTTTTAATCGTCAGGGGGATGGTTATCTTCAGGGACAACCGCTTCTCAGAGGCTGGTTGAACTGGGAATAAATTACAGTTCGATCCGCGAGTCGTCTTTCGGTATATACAGAGAGAGAGAGAGAGAGAGAGAGAGTCGCAGCGAACCTGGTCGCAGATGGTATATCGTACCCGCGTTGGTATCGTTGCGCGACGTTCGCGAAAAGGGAAGAAAAGAAAGGGAATAAAAAGCACGATTAGAGAACGATGGAGATTCTTCATTTTTTCGAAGGCAAAAAGGGGTCCAGAGGCTTGACGGCTAGAGGAGTCGGGGAGGGAGCACAGTTCAACGCGTCCAACGCCCGAGATTTCACGAAGTCAGGCTTGTTCTAAAAAAGAGAGGCCGGGGGTAGGTTTTTCACGGGGGTTTTACCCCGGTCGGAACGGCAAGCTGTGAAAACAGCGTGCATGTAACCGACCGTCAGCCACCAGCCGAAAGAGAAACAGAGAAAAGGAGCACGTGAAAAAAAGGGCAAACGTGCGAGCGAGAGCAAGAGAGGCTATCTCTACGCGTGTGTGCGTGCACGAACGAAAGAGAGAGAGAGAGAGAGACAGCAAGAGCTCGGTTTCACGAGGATCCCACCGGTGTGTAAGCCGTGAAACGAAAACCGAAAGGTCGTTAGGCAGGGGCAAACCTTTTGTCGCTCCGATGCCGACGTCGAAACCGCAAAATGTCCGACAACTCGTTTCGTTTTTCCTTTTCTTTCGGCACGGGAGCACGCTGCCTTTTTCTTCCTCGGCATGCGAATTCCGCGAGGCGTCCGACCGTTCTAATCGTTCCATTCCGCGCCTCCGCGCTCGCGATCGTCTTTCAGGGCCGCCTTGGCCGCGTACGCGGACAGGCCGGAAAACTCGCCGATACTCGAGACACGCTATTCCGCCGTACGGAATACGCTGGTTGGTATCGTGTACGTCGAAGGTCGATTTCCGTAGGACGTCGAGAGAAGCAACGGTCTACCCGCGAAAAGTATCCGAGCACAAAAGAGGGACAACGATTACCCGTTTCGATGATCAAACATCGTGACGTCTGGATGTTCCATGCGTTTCCGACATTAATCTCTATCACCGCGCGGCCATTTGTCAGTTGTCGAATTCACGGTGATCGTCTGCGGCGCATGTGAAAAGCGCAGCAATTACGCGACGAGCGTCGATTAATCAGCAACGTTTATTGATAACTTTTAGCGTCTTTTGTCGCTGAATGCGCGAAATTACGATGGGAAACGCGCGAAAATTGCGAAATTTCGAAAAATCATCGTCGTGTACGTCCAGAAGTGAATAATCGTAATCACGTTTAATTGCTAATTTCGTACGGAACATCGACAAATTTACTCGTCCTGCTGATAAATTATGTTCTATTTACTATAGCGGATATTCGCTGCTTTGTACGTCTAAACCTGACGTTGATCGACGCAATTATTTTACAACGAAATTTTATGGCCCCGCGATTGTGCGCGACAGCGATCATGGTCTCTCCGCGTCTTCGCTGACTATCGCGAGTCGTTTCCTCAAGGATTCCGATCGATTAGTCGTCGAGTACCCGAGCAGGTCGTTCTTAGACCTGGTACCCCAAAAATGAGAAATAAAAATTGCACGCCCGAGTGTATACTCAAAGCATGTGTCTATAGTAATTTAAGATCATTTAAGACCAACGATCGAATCACTGATTTCCAGAGGAATTTCAGTTTTTCTTCCGAAATGCAGTGGTTTCGTCTCCATTTTAACGCATAGATATACTCGAACCTCGTAGTAATCTATAACGAACACAAATCATTGAACAGAAAAGTGACTGGTGCTCTTTTCGAAGTCAATGATTCGACGAGTGATGTGATTAAAACGCACGATTCGGATCGTTCACGAGCAGAATCGTCCAACCTGTCGACAGGAGGAGACTCGTTGATGGGTTCAGGATCGTCGGAAGACGAGGACGAGGACGGTAGTGCTCACCATCATCACAGTGGTGTCGGTGGCTCTCATTTGGGGCCTCATAATCTGGGTCCAGGTGGTCCCGGTGACCAGACGGTTGGTCACACTGGCGATCTTCCCCTTGGAAGCGATCCTTGCAAGCAGGAAGACTCCGAGGATCAAGGTAGGCTTGCTACACTTTCGCGCATTTTTTTCCACCTGCTCTTTAACATCATTCGACTTATCGCGTTACGAATCAGACACGTTTCTACAACTCGAAACTATTTTCGCGCGATTAACCGATCGTTTGCCCACCGAAGGGGGCGAGCTAGAGAGAGCGAAAGAGAGACAGGGAATCGTGGTTGGTCCCGCGACGAACTCGATTTCGAAGGGACTTGATCGACTGTTGGACCTAACTGTAGGACTAACGACTTAATCGTGGCCAATCTTGCCCTCGCGTCAGGAACCCTCGAACGAGGGAGGAAATTCGGTGGCTTGACCTGGAGCGTCAGTACGAATTACTAAGCGCGTCAGGTCTGCTCGGTCTATTATTCGCTTCTGCTCTTTTATCGCGAGCGCAACAATGACCCCTCGCTTTTACCTCTCTCGAAGCGCCCTGTATACCTCGTAGGGTACAAGCATCCACTATGCCTCGGGAAGAGGAAAAGAGGGGTGTCTTCGCGAAGGGTGGCCCCTGTAGTGCGGTGTGACACTGTCCAAACATTTTCTTTGTCCCGTGGTTAAGACCTCCCCGGGTATATATAGATTATCGCGAAGAGTTCGGCTCGAAAACTGCGTTCGTGTGTTACGTGTGTGCACGGTGCACGGTGGCGCGTGTGTGCACGCATACGCGCACCCCATAGAGCGTAGCTTTCGAGCGTAGAGCAGCCACGATAATCCGATGGGGGTTTCGCATCGCTTCCGGGGGATTGGCTGCGATTGTTGTTACCTCGATCCAGCCGATCAAGATTCCGAGATACGCGTATCATGCACGCGTGTCCGCGCGTGCAGTTTGTCAAGGAAGCGTCGTTTATTCGATCTTTGCAATACGGGATCCGACCGATAAAGTTTCTCGGGTGCAGGGGAGGTGGAGAAGAAGCGATATTTCGAAATTCGGGGAGAAATGAACGATGAAGGAAATTAGGACAGAGCGGCAAAGAGCCACCACTCGCCTGATCGTGAGAAACGAGCGTTTGTCCTGCTGCGGGATCGATTATTAAACTGGTTTGTTTGCATTGGTCGAAGGTTCCCTGGATGGAGATCCCGAAACGAGGGATAGCCAAACGGAGAACAAAAGTCCAGACGGTGGTGCCGGTGGTGGTAGCGGAGACGGCGGTGCCGGGTCGAAGAGGCGAGGCCCAAGAACGACCATAAAGGCGAAACAGTTGGAGATTCTCAAGTCGGCCTTTTCGTCCACTCCGAAACCCACCAGGCACATCAGGGAACAATTAGCGAAAGAGACTGGCTTGCCCATGAGAGTGATACAGGTTTATAAAATTACATGCTTCTAGCACGCTTAAGGATACGTAACTTTCGTTCGCGTTACCCCCTTTTTCCCTGCATTTTACCTCGTAATAGCAATACGTTCCTACTTTCTGTATATACGACGACGCGCAAACGAATCGAAAAGCGATTCCCTTTTACCAAGATCGGTAAATCGAATGAAAAACAGTGGTCCGTGTCGGTGTTCGCAGGTCTGGTTTCAAAATAAGAGGAGCAAGGAGCGTAGGTTAAAGCAACTGACGTCGATGGGCAGGAGCCCGTTCTTCGGCGGCTCCAGAAAAATGAGGGGCTTCCCCCTGAACCTGAATCCCGGTGCTTTGGGCGGCGAGGACGGACCGCCGCCCGGTTTTCCATATTTCGGCGCGGAGAAGTTCGAATTCGGTTACGGCGGGCCCGTGGCATTTCACCATGAATTCTTTGGTGCTCATCCGCCCCCTCATCCACATGGACCGCCCTTCAGTGGACCAGGCAATCCTGGTGAGTCTTGCAATTCCATTTCTTCGCTAAACGCTGTCAACTCTTGTCCGTTTCGCGACCTCGTCCGAAAGACTAACGGTTCCGTGCGGGAGAAACGAGAGAAAGAAAAAGGAGACGAGAGAGAGAGAGAGATAGAGAGAGAAAGAGGAGAAAGAAAAGGATACCGTTCTCTCTTTGCTCGGCAATGTTTTCGCGAGCAACGTCAACGCGATCGATCAATGACAGCGACGTAGGGGCTGGAAGGGTTTGGAAACGATCGCTACTCGAACGGTCCACGTGCACGTAACGCGTCGATATATCGCACGTTACTTCGTACGATCCGTTGGTATTATTCGCGTTGCCAGAATCGAAAACGGAACCTTGTCTCGAGTTCCATCGCGGCTATAATAAACATCGTAGCGGGTAGGTAGGTCGCGATAATTATGACAGCCGGGTTCGGAGATAGCAGGCCGGATACGATCCTCTCTGAATAGTACACGTAATCTGTTTCTGACAGGTTTGGACCCGGCGAGTTTAGCGGGTATGGCGGCCGCAGTGGCGGTGACAGGGGAATATCCACCTCCGGGTGCGGGAGGCGGCCCTCCGGAATTTCTCACGGGCCCTCCTGGACAGGGGCCCCCTGCACCTCCTGGCGGTAGTCCTGGAGAGTTCCTAGCACCTTCAGGTACGACAAGATTCTTTTGAAAGGCTACGCTTACGTGCCAGTAGAGAATATTCATTTTTCTTCCGCTTCCTACCGGAAGTCACTTCTTCTTTCGTTGATGTACAAAAACGCAGTCACTAGTACTAGTATATTGCGATGTAGCGTAACGCGATTTCGATGCAACGGTGTACGGGGTGTCGGATACATCGCGCCGGATGCATCGCGGCCCTCTTCCCGCGAACTTTTCACGCGAGTTGACGCGCGCGCGAATTTCCGACACCCCGTGGAGCGTTGTAGGAGAGTGAAGCGGTCGGTTTCGTTTGATTTTTTTCATCGGGTCCCACGTTTCACGGGATAGATCGAAGCATCGAAAAGAACCGATTCGATGGGTTTGATATTTCTCAGGTGGAGCACAGGGTAATCCCAGTGCCGGTGGGAATGGTGGCGGTCCAGGTGGCGGCGGCGGCGGGGGTGGGTTCCTGGAGCCGCACCAGATGCAGAGCGAAGGGCTGGCCTGGTAGTACGAGTTTTAATTAACGTTCATTTTTTCGTGTTTTGTTGCTTTCCATCAGCGGAGCGAAAATCGATCGAGTTTCGAAGAAAAATCGACCGGTCGCGCGCACCTGATGGAGAGACCGTACGACTTTGTTCCGGCTCCAGAGACTTTTGCCCGCGAACAGATTGTGGCGAGAGTCGATTTCGTCGAGCCAGGTCGACTTTGCATCTTGTACGTTACGTTTCTGTAAGATACGCATATGATAAGACGATCGATCGTTTAGCTTCGTTTCTTTCACGGTTATCATTGTCATTATTAACATTATTTATTATTATTATTATTATTATTATTATTATTATTATTATGGTCGTCGGTCGACTCCGACGTTACTATTTTATTATTATTTTTATTATTATTATGAATCATTAAATATTATTATTAATATTATTGTGTATAAAATTTCGAATGTCCTATCGTGTAATATTATACCCTCCCTGTTGATTACTTTTCGACGTTACTTTTAAGAAACATCCTGTAGATATCTGCTGTTCTACACCCGAGAAACATACGATGACACGTACGTACACGTCTAAATACGTAAGACACGCACACGTAAGATACACGGACATGAAATACAACAGGTAACACGGCGCGTGCAAAACGACACCACACACGGTACACATGCGTAATTCTACACTTAAAACCGCTGTACTATTTATCAATAAAGTATAAATATAAATAGGAATGTGTAACCTGTAATTGTTAAGGCGGCGATCGATGTAAATAAATCTGTCTTTCTGCGAGAATCACGCGAAGCATTAGCTGGTCGAGTACTGTCACTGGACCGTGTCTGTAATTGTAACATGCATTACAACGTCATACGAGAGAAAGAGACACGCCGCCGCGATGCATAATGATTATAAATATTATTATAATAAACCACCTCGTATTTCCGTATACGTACAGTTGTGTGCATTTCTTGCCTCTCATCGTCTTTAAATCTTTCCAAACGACTGCTCGAAACTCGTACAAGGAAACCCTCTACCCCGTGGAACATCGCAGCAGACCGTCGCAATAGTAAGTAAATACGTTAAGGATAAATTAGAAAGAAATTAGAAGTAAATTAAAATTAACCTAACCGTTAAGTCCGTAGTTGCATGACAATCGTATCGCTGTACCATCCCCTACCCTACTGCGTTGCTCTTCCCCAAAAACCAGTCGGTGCTTCAAAAGCCAACGATATCAAAACGCTTATTCCGAAAGCGTTTGCAACCCCAACGAAATCTCGGTTTCTTCCGTTCCCAGTGGGACAAGCACCTGAGACTATCGATACTGGAGCCTTTACCCCGGAATCTTTCACCCCGCCGCCCCGGTTGAATCGTGGTGGGCAAACGCATCTGCGACTCGGGGTGCTCGCGTGGCCTAACGTCGTTAACGGGTGCAACGTCGTTCTCCACGAGGAGAGGGTGAGGGAGATTCGTTTTCCTGGACATCTGGTGAATTCGATTTTGATGTGTTTCTGCCCTCCGGGGGTTGCGAGGCTCCTCGGGGCTGCAGCGCCGTCGTTCCCGTATCCCTGACAGTCCCGCTGGGGACAGAAACGATGCTGCCGCTACATCTCCGTGTGCTTGCCGTACAAGCGTGTGTACACACGCTCTATCGACCCCCCGCGACCGTTCCTACAAGTGTGTCTCCCTTAAGTACGTATGTACAGCCACCGGTCCGCTGTCACAGTTTACCGTCGTGTCCCCAGGTAGCCGTGTATTTTTCAGTGGCGCGAAAACGTGGCGCGGCGAACGCGACCACGGCCACCCTTTTTAATATTGCAGCTGCCGTTTGTCTTCTCAGCGAGTTTCTGGGACACGCCGGTCTGCTGGTAACCACTTGTCCTCCTCCCCTTTATTCCTCGCCCGGCGCCAAGCGGGTTTCACCTGTTCCCTCCATACGCGAGTACCTTTCTACCTTTGGCGCCGCCATTTTTATCTATCTGGAACGAATTGCGCGACGAAATTTAACGAACGCGACGGCGGATCTACGACTCTCCGAGCACTTTGACAGAGAGAGAGAGAGAGAAAGAAAGAGAGAGAGAGTGGGATAGGAAGACGTAAAGGGCTTGCGGAGGCAACAGGGGTGTGTGAGGGTTTTTCCGCGAAACGTCCTCTAAATCTTTTCATCCCCCGACGAGCCAGGGAGCCGCGTCCTCGCGGGAGTTTATCACGGAATTTAACCGGATAGAGTACCGACCGGAGTACAGCGTGTGTACATTGTAACAGTGATTCGCAGGGCGAAGGGCGTCAGCGTAGCGTGTAATACGTGTCCTGACGGATCTCTCGTAGAAGATCCATCGGGAGATTCGACAGATGCGAGCCCGCCTCCGCGCCCCAGGAACTACCACGGGGGTCTCGCGGGAGTGTTGCAGAGACAAACCGTCCCAGCGGGTCGGTACACACCCTACGTCGTATCATTTTTGTTACCCTCTGGCCCGCGCAAGGAGCGTTCTATCCACGCAGGAATTCCCATCCGACGAACCCTCGTGTCCTCCGTCGAATCGACTCGCGATTGCATTCCGATGTGCTCGTTAATCGCGTATTTGCCACGATTCGTTCGAAACCGGAGAAAAAGGGGGTGGGATTTATCCGGGGGCAAGAGGAAGGCGAGATGCGTTCTGTAGCAACGTCCCGGACAGGGGATCGTGTCACAGTCGAAAGCATTTGGAACACTCACGTGCCCGAGCACGTGTCGGAAAACAAGCCCCTGTCGTGCAAACCCTTCGTCCTTCTTCTGTCGTTACGCAAGGAGGCCTTACAAATGGTGGCCGGCTTACCGCGCACGTTCCACCCCTAGCGCTCGTCACCGGCTCGAATTAACGTGGCAAAGCTACCAATTAACCCTTGCTATTGCCGTTTGATCGCCGTGATTTCCTCGGATGGGAAATCACCATCGATTATACCTCGCGCCTTGCCTCGTAACGCTTTCGCGTCGTCGATTTGCACCGTTTCGCGCGAAACAATGGCACGCGTCGCGACGACGACCACGAGATTGACGAGAATTACGAGAATGACGACAGCCACGACGACGACGACGACGACGACGACGAGTTGGTCTTCGTTACGAGTCATCGACGAGGGTCGTACCATCCTGGACTATTTGTCTCCGTTCGAGAAACCCTTTGGACGTCTACCCATTGTCGTGCACGCCCGGTTCGATTCTTCCGCGAACCGACTGTTCTTGGAAGCGTATAAATTCGTGGAGGAATATCGGGACGACGAGCGGACGCACAATGGAAACGTCTACCGGCCGTTGTCACCGATGGAGAACGAGGCGCGGATGAAACGTGTCTTTTCGTGGCGCGTAGACCGACTTATTTTCGTCTCGCTTCAACCGGACAGACACGGCAGAAGCGTCCAGAACGACCTCCTGGTGTTCAGGCTGGGCTTAGGCTAATCCGAAATCCGGATTACTCGTGCCTCAGCTGGTCCAGTCTTACGGGCGCGACGTGTAACAGCGATAGCTGTTTTTTCTGGGGCATTAGCGGCTGCTCGATCTTGGCCGTACGAATTTCGTGCGTCGGAAAAAAGATGCCCGTTTCACCGTTTCCCAACTCCGCGTTCTCCCTTCGCGCTTAAGACCAGGCGATCTGCATAAATATACTTATGCTAATTGCTCCGGATTGTCCGCCGGTGATCCGTAGATCTGCTGAATCACGTGCACACACGCACGCGCTCGTACGAGCGTGTCTGCCCCGAACGGAAGTTCTTATGGCATTCCTATTACCCAGACACCCGGCGACGTATGTAAATAACTGCGCAGCGTACGTGGATCGCTTTATTTCGCGTGTAAGATACGCGTACTTTATTCGCCGAGCATATCTCGCGGGGACAGGGGGTCCGTGCCGCGGCTCAGACCACGGAGTCGGCTGAATTTCAAGCACGCGAGGAATTTTCGAACTTCGACCGTGGATAGGAGGAACGCAGGCATCCGAGATCTTACGAGACGCAGTATTAACGAGATAAATTATAATCGCGATCGTGGAGCGTCTTTTGTGCGTGTCGGAATCGACACCGAGAGTAGAAGAGGAGGAGGAAAAGGAGGAGGAGGAGGAGGAGGAGCAGCTCGTGTCGTCACGCGTTCTTCGTCTCGCGTTGCCCGACGTGGTCGCGTGCTCGTATCTACCCTCTCTCGACCAGCTTATCGGTACCACTTCCACCCTGTCCCGGCAGCGAGATAAGTATTCGCTATTTAAAATACCAGTCCTCGTGGCGTGGGGCCCAAGATAAACCGTTCGTGCGTCTAGGAGGGTAGCACGGTAGACGGCGCGAAAGAGAAGGAGAGAGAGAGAGAGAGAGAGAGAGAGAGAGAAAAAGAGGGGTTGATTATAAACCGAAGGCAGCAGGCGGGGAGAAGGATGACGGTGAAGGGCGGTGGAGTGTGCAGCAACAGCAACAGCAACAGCAGCCACGGCGGTCCAGCGTGAGGGTGGTTTATGGGGGGTTGTACCGGGTATTGTTGTATAAATAGGTTTGGCGAGTTAGGGGTTGCTACCCCCGAGGGAACTGCACATGTCCGCATCGATTATACCACCCCTTCCTCACCCCTCCGAGCTTCGATCTCGCTCTAGCTGCTAGTTTCTCTCTCTCCTTACGGGCCTCTTCTCGATTCTCTGCCACCGGTGGGTGGTTTCAAACCCCCTCTGTCGTACAACGTGTCTCCGTCCCTCTCTCGATTTTCCCTGTCTTTTTCCCTCGGCCACCCTCGTACGTCCATCCAAAGCCTTCTCCCCGCGGAGCCCACGGGGCACACCGCTCGGTTATTTTCAAGCCATTTGCTTTGTAAACGCACGCAATCTCGACCAGTCACCCTCTCTCCCCAGACTTCTTCTCCGCTAGATTTCCACCCCCTCGTGCGTGTTATCTCGCGCGCAAAAACTTGCGATATTCCTGCGTCCGAAGGCGTAATCGGTCGCGCGATTGTTAGAAGAACCGACGACGGAGCGAACAGGTGGCAAAGGTTTCGCCACATCGACGC